CACGCATCTGCTATCATATACTGGGCGTCTGTTGACTTAGAACTCTCAGGTGGCAAGGTCAAGCCTTTGAAGTCTGCCAAGAAGGAAAAGAAGGAGCTCGATGACGATGATCTTGCATTCAAGGAAAGACAGAAGGCTGGTATGGATGCCCAATTCTATCGCCTAAATTTCGCTTGTCCATACTGATCGTCTTCACTCCAACCAGAGGCCAAGGCCAAGAAGGATATGATGGACAAGGCCAAGGGCAAGGGCCCATTGAACACAGGTGCTCAGGGCATCAAGAAGTCGGGAAAGAAATAAGTCTCTCTTGAGGACGGCACAACGCTATTTTCACGATATACAACGAGCTACGAGCTACGAGCGCAAAGGTGGAGGGTTTGCCATATGAGCCTCATCGCTATTTGCAGTATCTGAAAAAAACTCATATATTGTTATTCTCAATTTCAATATACCTCACCGAAGCCAAAACCAAACAGGGTCAATACTGCCTACTTGGTCGACTCGGCACAGGCTCGTTCATTAACAGAACCGACCAAACCATGAGGTTCCAATTACAACTCAACTCGTGACCTTGTTGGTGTTCTTTGAATACCGCATAGTAACTGCTGCTCATGCGCCGTTTGTATCATTAGACTAATGTTCAAGATGCGAATTGGCTTTTTTTGTAAAACGCTCATTTAGGGTATACACAACGCTAGAAGGGGTATGGCTTGGCCGATAGATCTTGAATAACAGGAAAAGACAACTCAGCGCAGAGAGGGAGAGAAAGGAAGGAAGATGTCAACAAATTAAAAAGTATCTAAAAGAGAAATATGTCGATGAGAATGAGGGAAAATAAAAGAAGAAGGGAAAGAATGTAGAAGAGCTAGAGAACCGCCCTTCAGCTGGTCACTCGTTTAACCCATAAACCGCTGCTGCCACCATAGCATTCCTGTTCGTCACGCTTCCTCCATGCTCGGAATAGTTTCATGCCAATCTCGTGTTCTTCTTTATTGATATCAGCCAGCTCGTTGTTCAAGCTGGCAACCGTTTTCTTGACCTCGTCCCTTGCAGCCAGATCGTAAGCAATGGGACTGGGCTGGATGACTTGCGTCAACTCGTAAATCATAGTATTGATGCTTGCTTTGCGGCGTGCAAGGTAGTCTCTCCTTGCTTCCAACGTTTCGATGCGATTTTGGGTTTGTTGCGCTGGGGTACAAGGCAAAAGTTCGTTCGTTTCTTGAGACGGAGTGGGCTTGCGCGATGGTTTCTTCCCTGGAGCTACCGCGCTGGGAACGGGACGTTTTCTGGACATTATGGAAGGTTGATACTCGGTAGACTGGGAAGCAGCGTCGATACTCCCTCGTGGACTGCCTGTCGCGGTTGAACTGCCTGCTTCTGTGGGCTCGTAGGTAGTTACACTGAAACGGCTCGATGGTAGACCGAAGTCATCTTCGTTGGTGAGCTTTAAGTCAGCAAGGGTACTGGTGAAATCAGGCTCCGGTAGATTGACGCGTGGCGGAGTACGGCTGCTTGCGCTAGTCGCAGGAGGGGTCGGCTCCTCAAACACTGTTCGGTAAATATTCTTGCTTGGCGCATGCATCTCTGGAACCTTCGTGTTTGCCTCACCACTCGAGACAGTCGAGACGACGGAAGGAAAACTCCCAAGGTATGCGCCACTGGGCGATGGGCTCTCTCGACCTCTTAACTTAGAGAGGCTCCTCGACAAGTGCACACGAGATGATGATCTGGCTCTTGGCTTTTCCTGCAAAGGTTCCACTATCGGAGATCGTCCACTCGCACCTTTCCAAGGCACTCGCGTGTTGGGCGGGAGGAAGAGGTCACTTTCTTTTGGCCGGCTACGGGCTCCTGAAAGCTTTCTTTTCTGCTCCCTGCCCCAGTTGAGAACGTCCGAACTCCGAGACTCTATAGGTCTAGCGTCGGAGGATATGTGCGTTTCGAACGTGCATCCAGGAGCCGCATGCGCAAATGTATCTATCGGCTCACGGGAGAGAGTGTCCCATCCGGTAGCAGGTCGCGTGAAAGAAGGAGTGGGATCTTCTTGATTCTCCGTGTGCTTGCGCAAAACCGGTATGTGGCTGGTGAATGTCTTCTCCGTCTGGCCGCCCCCGAAGTACTGCTCGAATTCGTCCTCTAGGGATGAGACTCGAGAGCTGCCTAAACTAGCAGGTCCATGGCCAAGGAAAACCGGCGAGTCAGGAGGTGAGATTGACTGGCTGTCCGTTCGACCGGGAATGCCCGATTCCTGAGGGAGGAATTGCGTTAAACTGATCGAGGGTTTACGTCGGCTGTCCGCCATAGTATCTTGCGAATATGGGCCTGCCATCCCAACCGTGTCCGGCCGACGCGGGTGTGAAGAGTTCCTAAAACGGGTTAGAGAACGCAGAGCTGTGCTAGTTCCTAGCTGGTACATACTTCGGCGGGGTTGGCAAAGTTTTTGCATGATATTTGTTGCTCTCTTTGTGTACACCAGAAACAAGAGGAAATGACTGGTATTCATTATCATCCAAGGTCTTGCCGACCAAAGTAGGAGTTCCAATTACCGGCTTCTTCGACCGATGGAAATTCGATGAAACCTTCAACCACATTTTGATCTAAGACACCGCGATCGATCTTCCGGCGGCTAGGGATAGCGATGATCATCAGTGGATACAGCGATGATGATGCAAGGGCGCAGTGACATACCTCAAATACCTTAATTTGTCCCAAGATGATCGGAAAAGAAGAGTAGGGGGTAAGAAGAAAAAAAGGTCCAAAATGTCGAAAGTAGAATGTTGAACGTTAAAGGAGGAGGATGAAGAAGAAAATGATCCCTGTCACGAACAGGCTGGTCTGATTTTCAATGTGGATTGCTGCAAAGACATGCCAGCATGTCATTCAACAATTAGAAGAGGAAAAGTTGGCCAATCCTGGTTCGGTATGCACGGCAACAAAGGGAAGGTTTGGCTGACAGGCACTCAAATGCGACACGGATAAAACCGCTCAGTTAGTCAAAGAGATTTAAAAGAGGGAAAAGAAACTCCGACAAAGAATGGAAGCAAAGAAGATTCAAGAAATGACACAGTGCTCAACACGAGTGAAGGAACGAATGAACCATGGCAGAAAGAATGAATAACGATGACTATCAGGCTCGCCTGATTGAGGGAACAGCCAGAGGAAATGGAAGTCATGGCTTCGGAACAAGCACATGCCCTGGAAGGGTCCTGTTTCAGCGATTTGCAGTAATTCTGGTTGACTAACAGTTCGTGGTTTAGTCTCCCGTTAGTGAGGTTCATCAGGTACTATGATTAGTAGTCGAGGTTAGCTCCGTGACTCCATAACGATTATGATGATCTTCATCCAGACCATTGAACGCCCCCAAGTCGTCCGAGGAGTGGATTGTCCTCGGTCCTGGGCACTAAAAATAACAGGGAAATAAATTAAAAGGAGGAGAAATCCCGTTTTCTCGGGTGTCTGTGCTACGGAACTCGAAAAAGATTTGACATCTACAACAAGCCTGTGGAGTTGGATTAAAGATCCGTGAGGAACCTTCGGCTAAACCATGGATGAGTCGATGGCCTGAACCCTCAGGCTGCAGAAGAGACTGCAGCTGGAAAGGGTTCACGTGCGGTAAGTAATACCGCTGTCAGCATCGGCTTATATCTCCGCATTGGGCTGGGCACGGAGCTCCGTGAATTTTACATACTGTACAGTAAGTTCAAGGAATACCCAACGCCGTCTTCCGTCATCTCCAACTGGACTTTACCTCCGTCAGCTTCATCCTCCACGGCAACTCCTCCTTCTGTCAACTAAAACCACCGATCTTTCTCACAAACAACTATAACCATGTCTTCTCCACGTATGTGTCTTGAGATATCATCGGCTAAACACATCCACCCATAATCCATACTAACACGATCTCCAGAAGACGGAGCAGTCCCGCCGCCCGCCGAAGTGTCAGTATCCCCAACGCCAACGCAAAGAACGAGTCTGGTCTCCACACGATCGGAAACTAACCCATATCCTCTTTAGTATGTCAATCGCATCGCCGATTAACCTGCTCCTCCTCTCCCTCTTCGCCGTTCTAGTGTACCTGCAATTCCGACCAAAAGCGCCCGTAACTCTTCCCAAGGGTCCTGCGCCCATCGTCTTCCGCACGTTCACCCCCACCACTCTGCTCGAATTTAACGGTACCGATGGAAAACCTGTCTATCTAGCCGTCCGCGGTCGCGTTTTTGATGTATCCCCGGGCAGGAACTTCTACGGACCGGTATGCACTATCTTGTGCCCATTGGAATGACGATAACGATCACAGACAAAACTAACTCACTCTAATATAGGGTGGCCCCTACGAGAACTTCGCCGGCCGAGACGCATCCCGTGGATTGGCTTGCCAGAGCTTCGACGAGGAGATGCTTACTAAGGACCTGACGGCTCCTCTGGATGACCTTAAAGGTCTTGATGCGGATGCGTTGGAAAACCTCCAGTCCTGGGAGGAGCGCTTTTTGGAGAAGTACTTGGTTGTGGGTAAATTGGTTGCTGAAGGCGATCCGGAGGCCCCGAAGGCATAATTGCCGTGCGATCACCCACCACGGATGGTACCGCATATTGATGATGGAATGCAGGGTGGAAGCTTCTACGAGGTCGGAAGTACCTTGATGGAAAATGTAGCATTTGGTATTCTCAAAAAGCGATGCGAGTGCTTTGTTGGTTTCGCACGAGACATGATTCGATTGACGCTCGAGTGTGAGCCGCATATATTGGAAATTTTTAGGTCATAATAAATGCCATCGTATTATAAGTACGTATGTCAAATCTGCTACCACCACAATGTATAACACCCAGAGGCGTAGCAGGAAGTGATATTGCCAATACAAAGTTTTGCAGTTGAGCAGCACGATCACTGTAATTACCATTCCATTTTCAAAATGAACCAAGAGAGAACGACAAAGAATCAAAAGGTACTGTTACAAGTCATCAAATCGTGGCCGAGATTAAGAACTGCCTGGAATTTCACAAGTTCACAGTTCCGCTCGCAATTCCTCCGCAGACTCCGCAGCCTTCTCTTGCGCCTTCTCAGCAGCCCGCTGACCCTGAGCCCGGCCACTGGCCGCTCCGATCTTCAACTGTTCCAGAAGCCAGTTGGTAGCATCTTGGATTTTGGCATAGATTGTTCCTTGCGGAGTGGTAGTGCCGTATCTGAAGTACTCGGCGTTGCGACGTACTGCAGCGCGTAGTTCGTTGGGGCTAGAGCTTGATAGACCGGAATACCATAGGAGTCAAGGTAAGCCTTAAGCTCAGAGTGAGACCAGGTGTCGAAGGTGGAAGACTTGGCAGCGTCAGTAGCCTGCGCCATATATGACGTAGCTGATGCCAAGTTTGCTCCTCCAGCCTTAGAGGCTTTGGCATAAGCATCTTGAGCTTGTTTCACAAGCTCATCCCGAGTCAGATCCGCACGGTGCGCTGCCTTGGCGTTCATAGAAGACAAGTATTTCCTTCACTTGAGGTCAGAATAAGAGTTAATGATTGGCCATACGAAACGTTGACTTACTTCAAGTGCTCAGTATCCCAGGTGTCGAAAGTCCAAGCGGTCCAGCCAATGGCTGCTTTGTGCTTGTGAAGTCTAACCTTTGCAAGAAGCTCATCACGCTTGTTACTCTGCGGAACAGGGACGCCTCGTGCATCCAAAAAGGCCTTGAGACGGGAGTCGGACCAGGTCGCGACAGCAGCATCAAAGGCCTCCTCCCCCTTAAGCTGTGCGACATCGGTTGCTTGGGCGTACTCGTTGCCAGCCTTGGTAGTAGCAGCACCATATAGTTCTGATGCCGTTGAGGTAGCACTCTGGGATGCAGTAGAAGCTGCAGAAGAGGCCTGACTAACCAGGGAGGCGCGGTGCTTTCTGGCCAGTGCGACCAGCTCGTTACGCTTAGAGCCTTGTGGCACCCTGACATTATGTTCATCGAGGAACTTCTTCAAGTCCGAGTCAGACCACGCATTGAATAGCGCTTCACTCAGAGTAGCCTGAGCGGCATCTGCGGATTTAGAAGCAGAAGCAGCGAGGTTTCGTGCTTGTAGACTGGCCAGTCGAGCGTTGCGGCGCACCGTTGCAATTAGCTTGTCACGGGTTGTAGGCTGAGGCACCGGCCAGCCACGCTCATCAAGCCATTCTTTCAGATCGGACTCAGTCCACTGCTCGTAGACCCAGTTACCAGGATAAGAAGCAGCCTCCCCGAGTCTTTTGGCAATTGCTTCGTAGTTTTCACGGGCCGCCTTGAGCAGTACATCGCGCTTTCGGGGCTGAGGAGCAGGGATACCATGCCGATCAAGGAAAGCTTTCAGATGAGAATCAGACCAGCTATTTGCATCTCTTTAGTGACGTGCATAGGAATGAGCATCTCTGTTCTTGACTTACGAATCAAAGATCCAGTCCTTGGCATGATGCCATTGATCGGTAGCCTGGTCCGCTGCTTGTCCCAAGGGCTTTTGAACTTTCGCGTTCCAATTTACCTTAACAGCGTTTTCGAGGTCTTTGCGATCGGCAGGGGAAGGATACGGAATGTCTATACCTCATGTTAGTTTCGTGCGGTGTATTTAAGACATTTTCATTAGACAGGTCGTACCATGGTCGGAGAGCCATCGCTCCAGTTCTGTTTCATGCCATTTGTCGTACACTAGAGTAGTCCTTTTGTCAGCATATGCTTTGGTCTTTAGGAAGCATATAGTTGGTTGCATACCAGCTTTGCTGAACCACGAGTGTGCCCCAACCGCCTCCACGGTTGCAAGGGCCAACACCAGACCCGAAGCAAAATTTAGCTTCATAATCACTTTGTTACGAATGTTTGGCGTGTCCTAATTGAATGATCTAGAGTCACTATCAACAGTCAGTCTCGCTCAGAGGATTTTGGGTTGAAATGAAGGACGTCAATCGAGGACAACTTACATAAGTCCTTGCCAGGGTAGATGGGATCGAAAACAAAAGAATATGTGAGGAAGTGTAGTATTTATTTATTAGGAGTGATGAAAGGACCAAAGATGATTGCCGAGTGACGTAGTTGTTTGCACAATCGGCCTGCGTGTGGTTACTGGCGTCATCGACTGGGTCAACCTTGGTCGCGCATCTCTTCGACGACTCGAGACCGTTTGCTCAGCTGTTGTGGATCTGCCATGGTTTTCACTGGCTGATCAAACATCTAAGTGCAGTGAATGTAGTTCAATCTCGTAACTGTACATAGTTGGATTGTAACCTCTTGACGGTGGAAGCTCCCAACAGATAAGAATGCCAGTCTAACCATTTGTGGTTTAGCTCGGGTGTTGCCTCTTTGGGCCATGCGGAGAACATGAGGTGAATCGACTTGAGACTTAAGACAACTCGTACTGAATATTTACATCTCCGTACCGTACAGAACAAACAGTACATACAGCACTTTATCGCCTATCAGGAGGTTCGTAGACCGAGTGACAAGTCATCTCTCTCTCTTCCCCAACGCATCCACTTAACATCATTTGACTACAAATAACCTAAATTTAAGGACACCGCTTCAGACATCCTTACGTGAGATGGCTCTTCTTTAGACCCAACAGTCTGCACCTCGCTGGCAAATTGCCGAGGAACTCACCATAGTTACCCTCGATTACAGGGCTTGGCCTCGGATGCTCCTGGTCAGCTGTTCATCACTTGTCTTGATGATCGCAAGTCGACCCGTTACTCCTTAATCAATCAATCAATCGCCATTATCAAATACCCGGTAGAGGATTATTAGACACGACGTGTTCCGTGTGCTTTACAAAACGCCGGAATGGATCTTCTGTCCAGCGCGCAATGCAAGCATCTGGTCTCTCCAGACTATATAAACTTCATCCTATCAATGTACAGCTTCCTCGTCTAACACCATCGAAAGACTCCTTAAGGTGTATGCTAAAGTGAAACAGCTTGATCTTATTCGGTATACTGTTATCCTACCTTCCTCAGCATTACCGAATCATCTCCCTAAAGACTTCCTACGGCATCTCACCGTATTTTGTCTTATTGGGCACAATTTCTGGTTCGTCGTCTTTAGCAAACGTGGTATCCCAACAGCAAAGTCTACAGGATGCTTCCTGTTGCAGTGAAGTCAACGGCCTGGCTTGTTTCGCAGGATTGCTAGGCATCCTCCAGATTGGAACACAGTGCCTCTGCTTCTTTATCATGTAAGCGACTGATCCACGCTCTAACAAGCGACTGCCTTCTAACTACTATACAGCCTATTCTTATACATCCTTTATTTCCCTCGAGATGTACAGTCGTCATCGTCAACCTCCAAGTCAAGACCGCAAGGCCCAACATACCGGACCGCCCTGATCGTAGGCGCCGTCTGTATTCTACACATCTCCGTAATGCTTATTGCCACTATCACCATTGGACTCAAACGACCCGCCTCTCTGCAGTCTTGGTCCAACTTCTGCGGCATCTTAGCCGCGGTCCTTTCCTCAATTCAATATTTCCCTCAGATCTACACTACCGTCAAACTGCGCTGTGTCGGCAGTCTGAGCATACCCATGATGTGTATACAGACACCGGGTGGCTTTGTTTGGGCTGCCAGTCTTGCGGCTAGATTAGGTCCGAAGGGATGGAGTACATGGGGTGTTTTGCTTATCACTGCGACTTTACAGGGTCTGCTACTCGTACTGAGCGTTTTCTTCGAGTACCTGGGGCCGAACAAGGGACACAGTCATGGGGGGGACGGCCCAGTGGAGAATGATGTGCACGATGAGCAAGAGTCGCGTCCCTCCGAAGAGACTCCCCTTCTTCAGAACCAATGATCGGCTCCAGTATGAGAGTGATTGGATAACTCTCATACGATTGCTGCCCGTGTTTCGATTCTTGGATATTGGCCCTTTAGATCTTCATTCTTCAACGAGGAATGTAAATATATATGCGGCTTGGAGCCTCGGGTACGATGCGATAGACCTTTCCTTTGCTTGGAATTGAGGCAACTCGTCCACTGTACTGTTGGAACGACAACGGGAAGACAACAAGACAGGACGCAGGGCAAAAGCCCAGATAGACGATGTGATATAGTTTCAAGTCTAGCCAGTGTATAACAGGAGAGTAACGTCCAATACCCACACTACTACCCCGCAACTAGGAAATCGAAGCAAGTCATTCTCGCAGCAGAAGAAGTAGCAGCAGAGCTGTTATCCTCTCATAATCATAATATTCATAAGCTGGATCCCCGCCCAGAACCTAACCTACAACATCGGCCTCCAAGATTCCGCACTTAACCGAAAACCAGACGGAAGATGTCGTTGAAAACGTAGTAGCTTCCACTTCCGTCTGGCGAAAGCTGGAAAGTCTGGGAGAATTTCATGGGAGTCTCCTCCTCATCGACCTAAAAGCAAAAAGAAGGGGGATACTTTTAGCAACATTGATCCAAACCCAACTGTCCGTAGATTTGGGGGGGGGGGGGGAACCTACAAGTAGGATACCAGTCACCATGACAAGGATACCGCCATTCGCATTAGAAGGCTGGGAGTCAAGGGTGCTGACCTGGTGAGAGACCTTCTGGAAGGCAAGAGTCTGCAACGAGCGATTCCAGTTAGCATTGCTATTGACTACCAGCTCTGATGTGACTCACAGTCAACTTCTCAATGATATTGGAAGCGCCCAGGATGGAGTCGTTCTCGAAAGTGAGCATAGAATCATTACGCTGTTATCCCCGCAAAACGAAAGGAAAGGTTAGTTTTCCCTGCTCTTGCGTTCAATCCCCTGCGCATAGCGAAAGACATACGTAGAGACCAAGCAAGTTACCACGCTGGTTATCGAAGGTGTTGTAGTAGAACTCAACGAACTGCTCTATTTGTTGCAATTGGTGTTAGAAATAGTCATGCGATTTGTCTCATCCCGTTGTCCATGTTGATGGGTGGGAGTCATGGTCGTCGTTCAGCGCGTCTTTATCTGAGACGACGAGAGAAAGCGAAGGAATATCACTCACTAGCGACGGCTTGGAAGTCTAGACAGTTGAGGATCCATGTGTTAGCTTTGACTATCTTCCCATGTGCGTTGAATGCCTGCGCCCCTCATTTTGGAGGGGCCCATGAATTGAGGAGGGGCATTAGAAAGCAACCAGCAAAAGTAGGTTCGATGAATTCGTCGGGAGAGAAATAACCGTAGCGCAAGCATGACTTACCGGCCATTTTGACGGATTGTGTGATGCGATAAGACTGAGTATTAGAATCAAAGGGTATAACGCTGGGATCGGGGATAGAGAGAGGGGAGGAAAAGCCGGGTTTATATCAACATCGAAAGTATTTCAGGCATTGTGGGGCTCCGGAATACAGTTTGGGCCCAATCATCGTCGCTGCCTCAGGCAGGGCGCCCATGGCAACCAATGACGCCTCCGTGGTTGATTGCGACTGCCATGGATGCGGGATTTTGTTGCGCATGTTACTTTTAGTACTTACTACTACTAGTACCTACTAGTAGTATTGCGTCGAATAAAAAAGAATTCTCATATCTCTAGCGTTTTTAACACGGTGGACTAGAGGTGGTATCAAACCAAGTAGTTACTACTACCTAATACTACATACTGAAGATCGTATTCATGACAGGACATTTCACTCCGAATCGGAATCCGCAAACATATCTTCCGCCTTTGGTCGAGGTTTGCGAACTGGCCGCTGAGGCTCGGGCTGAGCTGAGGGTTCTGGCTGCTTCTCTGGCTGCTCTTTCGAACCACTGTCTTCCACAAGCGCGCTGTCTTCCTCCATAGGTTCACCATCCGCGACTTCCAGATCGCTGTCTTCCATTGGCTCTCCATCAAGATCGCTCATCGGCTCTCCGTCGAATTCTCCGCCGGGCGCAATATGTTCTTGATCAATATCCATACGACTAATCCTAGCTTCAGGAGGCCGACCTGGGTCAAATTTCTGTGTCGTTGTATCTTCTTCCACAGACTTCCAGCGGCTTTTACTCTTGGAGAATGCATTGGCGGCTCGTTCGGCTTCGGCCTTCTCTTTTTCTTCCCGGATTTCTTCTTCCGTGAGCGGCGGTTTCTCGAAAACTCCATAGAAATGTTCCTGGCTTGATTGCGGGAAGACACACCAGCCTTCCCACAGATGCAAAAGAGTTCCGATACTTCGTTTCCATTTCTCTGCTTTTAGGCGACCCCAACTGTAGTCTTTCTCCAATCTTCCAAGATGCTCGAAGATTTGATGCGCTTTTAACGATGACTCGAACAATTGCCGATACCGCCAAGCATGTCGTACACCGCTGGTGGCAGAAGACGAGAGGATATCGGAGATAAGATAGAGGCCCACCAACTTCGCGGAAGACGTATCTAAATTGCCCTTAGACAGAGAGCGAGCTTCCTCTGCATCGTTGGAGGCGTCTGCTGCCTGTTCTCGCCGAGCTGCACCCGTTTCCATTTCACGGTCAGGGTTAGCCCCTGTATAAGCAAATGGTTCCTTTATATTCGAGACAATCATCTCCACAACCTCTTCTGCCCCTGCCCCTGCATGTTCAATAGCAAAAGCAGTAACGCGCGCGACATCGCCTTTCCGTAGCTTCGCATGTGTCGTCGGGAGACGAGCGAGGAGGTGAGTTAATTTAGCCTTCTGGAGTGGATTCATATAGCCTAGCCCATCGTTACTGGCACCCACACCATCAGCGGGAGGTGCTCCACTATGTTGACGTCTCTCATCTTCCACATCAGAGAGGTCCTCATCAGAAGAGTCGTAATCCTCGTCAGAGACAAACTCATCCATCTGGGTAGTGTATTCAAACTTGATATTGTCTTCTGGGGGGGCCCAGTGAGCGCCACCTTCGAAGATCAATAATGAATTCCTAGGTTTTCCTCGTTGATTCCCCCTCGAGCAGCTGTTGGTAAGGACTTCCCATAACTTCCATCGGTAGAATACCCCACCGGCACTTCTTGCATCCCATATCCATGCCCATTTTTCTTCTCTTTGAACTTCTGGCCGACTCATGAGAAGTGCTTCGAATTCCGGACCATAGTTTAACAGGTTTTCCAGTGTTTTGTGTATCAGTCTCAATTGCTTCAGGTCTGCCGGCGCTTTCACTTCGACCTGGGTACTGGGGCCACTTCTGCCAAAAGATGGCCCGTACGAAGCCGGGGGCGCGAAACCACCGCGATGCAAACCGGGTGGTGGAGCACGATTTAATCTTCCTTGCACTTCAGGAGCAATGGACTTGGCGCCAAAAGGAAGAGAGCTTGTGGATGATAGGCCAACAGTTACTGGCATTGTCGAGCTGATGGCCGCGGAGGATAGGTGCCTCGAGATCGACAGGTAGTATCCCCATCCCAAGTATTTGTTCTGAAGCGCGCTGACTGTGCTGTCTATATCCGAGGCGGCAGACTCGTTTGCGAGCGTCACAATGGCGGACATCGATTTCCGATCCGATGGTTGACCAGAGGGACGCAGGAGCTTGACATTATCCACTGACAAAACTGACGGTATCAACGACTTAATCACAGACGGGGAGGTGCCAGGAGGTAGTGATGCCAAGTACAGCGTGGGCTTAGCTGCAGCACGCTCGGCCTCTTTCGTATCAACCGTTGTATCCTCCTCATCGTCCGAAGTGCGAAACACTGCGGCTGGCGAAGCTGTATTCTCGAAACCTAACACTCCATGCGAAAAATCCCGGTTTCTTTGTAACGGCTGGAACCCTTCATGAGTACGTTTTCGAGAAAGAGATGGCGGCGGTGGTCCTAAAGTTCCAGGCCCGCTCAGGCGCGGGCCTGAGCTGGTAAAATGCCGTTTTGCAGGGCCTCCCCCAAGTCCAGAACTCTTGGGGTTAAACCTGTTTAGCCTTCCATCTGCAGACGGTCGATCTGGCGCGGGGGAGTCATCTTCGAATGACTTCACAAAGTCTTCGTAAACAGCAGCGGTTTCAGCTCGTTCTCGGGCACGCTTGGCTTCGGCTTCGGCTTTCTGACGCTCGAATAGTGATTTCTTAGGGAGGGCCGAAAGTTTTGCAGAGACGTCTGGAAAGCCCTTAGGCTTCGAATCGTCGGTCATCGCGAGTCAGCCGCTACGCAGCGAATCTCTTGGTATAGCTCACGAGGACTATAGAGTTGTGGAGTGCTTAATGTTGGAGTTGCTGAAAGCTGTCGGGGCGGAGACGGGAAGTCTGTTGCAGCCTGAGGCAGCGAGTAACAATCAACCAACGAAGTACAGCTTGAGGTACTTGGTTTATGATTTACCCATTGCTTGTCAACTTCCCTCACGTTTTCTTTTTACCACGCTACAGGAATTGTTTGATTGCTAACAGCATTGCATACGACTAAGCACCTAGATAAACTGTGATGGCGTCCCAGGTACCAGCTTTACTACGATTCCTATCCCAAGATGCCAAGATACCTCTCGCAGCTGCTATGGGTAAGATTATGGAGCTTCAGAAAGCCGGCCTCACATCGTATGGATGATTCGCCTCCCCATCCCCAGTGAGGATGGTGTGTGACTAATATTACTTTAGTCCTGAGCAAATCTCCAAGTCAGAAATCAAGACTATCCAAGAGATCTTCAAAAACGATAAGTTGGCGAAGCGGGTGTGGAACGCAGCGAAGAGAGTTTCCAGGAAGCGCGAAGCTTCAACTGGGAGCACAGAATCTCCTCGAAAAAAGTCAAGAGGCTCTGATCAGAGAGATGATACCACCCCTTTTGACATAGAATGTGCACTCTCTCTTCCGACCACCTCTGTGACCGAAGACGAATTGTCAAAGGTTGTCCTACTGACGAATAGAGCACCTCTCGTGCTGGCTTTTGCCGTCTGTGTGCTGAAGCATACTATGCCAGAGCAGCCAATCTCTAGCAGACTTAGCCTCGCTCAGGCAGTTGTTAGCGCTAATAGTCGCTCAAAAGCTGCCAGTCTGGGTATTGACAGTGAGAACTCCGCTGACCAGGAAGGCTGGGGAGAAGGACAACCTGTTGTCAAAGTCCTTGGAAGAGAAGTCAAGGTTCTTAAAAGGTGGGACTATAATCCCAGGGAGGGTAAGTCTGTGGGTGTAGCTGGTTCAGAACAAGATGAAGATATCTACCACGTGGCCAATGATATCCAAGGCCAGGATGTTTCGAATTCAGATAACTCAAACGGCATGCCACCGTTATGGGGGATCGATCTCGAGGCACTGCGAAGCGCACATCGTGGGAACTCGACTGGGGCCTCCAACGCAAATGAAGCACTTCCAATTTTCACACCAGGTGCTGCGCGGTCATATTTACTTAAGTCATTTACAGAAATACCAAAGGATACTAATCCAACACCAGAGAAACCGAACCGGAAGCGTCCCTCTCAAACAGACGCCGAGAAAGAGACATGTTTGAAAAATCTACTGCGGTCCATTGACCTGGTATGTCGGTCTTGGGCTCCGTTTCTCAGCAAAGAGGAGTTGGATCGACGAGCATGGACCTGGTACACACACGTCAGGCCTGCTGTCCAAAGTGGAGTAGCAGGCTGGGGAGAGAAAGGTCGGGTGAAGTTATCTGACATTCTCGCTTTGAGGAGACAGCCATGACTGCAAGTTTGACTGTTCGAGACTTTACTGTCAAAGAATTGCAAGATTGTCGCACCAATCAACCACGGGTTTCATGCTTCTGATCCACTTAGCATCGGATATCGCAAGATTTTTGTGCACCGAAATTGACACGACCGGTGTTATCCAACGTCTACTGTGTTCTAGAAGCTCGGTATCTGGATAAGGCAACCGCTGTGTGGGTCAACCGATGTCGCGATGAGTGGGATCTTGTCACAGACACCAGTTCTGCCCGACTGAAGACTGTTCTCGCCGTTGAGAATCCACCATTGATAGTGCAAAATGCCTTCCTTTTACATATACTACGCAGTACTAGCATTCGGATTCTGACCAGACGATGAATACAGTATAGTGGGGGTGGATGCACGTAGCAATTTCTGTCTTAATACATGTATTATTTCTCTAGTACTACTCCGTATGCCTCAGGACTCGATTGGGTGTCTGCTGGGGACATCTTGCCGGGTGGGATCGTTAGTGGAATGATCATGAAGAAAGACCCATACATTAGTGGACTTGACAGGATGGATTAGTTCTCTTACAGGATATGCTTAATATTTGGAATGCTTATAATTCGTCACCCACTCGGCGTTTTTTCCTTTTTCTTTTTCTTATCGAAACAGGTTGTGATTTTATTGATCCTTTCACACTTGGTCCCAATCAACTACTCCGGAGTCAAACGCAGGCGGTCTGTCTGGAGAACCAAACCAGTACCATGTTCGGTACCGAGTAACAGATGTTGTTATGTGACTGTTACGGATATCTGCCTAAATTCTGGTACAGATAAACTCGGAGAGTATTCGAACAAGCAGAGCAACCTTTGTTATTTCTTTCTTTCTTTTTTTTTTTTCTTAGCCCTCTGAGATAATCCGCTTCCCCTCCCCTCCGGCCGTTGCCTCTGTCATCATCCAACGTCCTTTACGGAAGAGGATAAGATACTGTGGTAAAAAATGCTATGACGCGGGCGAGGAATCCCCATCACGTCGATCATCGTTGAGCTCTTCCGCATTCGGCCAGATAGAGTTTTCCGGTCCAGGCACTGCAGGGTTTTTGGAAGAAGGTCCACCAACCGTTCCATGATCCTTCTTTTAGTGCTAAGCGGGGGGGGGGGGGCGCGCATTGTTGGATTTGTCGGTGGTCACTAGGATTTGATGCTGCTTGCACCGGTACTGGTGGAAGTTGTCCGAACTTTAACACCGTAGATATTCGGGAAAGAACTAGGGTAAAATGTCACTACAATTCGAATTGATGGGTGAAACTTTGGAATTTAGATAATTGGGTAGTCAAACAGTCATGGATGAACGGGAGTGGCACAAGTATCCGACCCAGCGGAGGGGCTTCCGGGCCAAACTCAGCCAGTGATAGGTCGTTGTCCTTGTTTCAGCCCAGAGCCATTCGCGTGGTGTGGCCTCACGGCGCCAATCAATGCAGTCGAGGATCACCCGGTATCAGATTGTTTCATTGAAGCGAGGGAGTGAACTCATGATTTCATCTTGGTGGCTTTTTTTATTATGTATTATATTATTAATTTTCTTTTATGTGTTAGTTAACTAAAGTCGACTAAGAATATATTGATGGGGTGCGGATCTAAAGACTGTTAGTGTCATTGTGGCGAGGCTGAGCAACTATCACCTAAACCTTGAATTAGGAATAGATCATGAACGGTTGATTGAGGTAGGGAGAAACGACTGATATTGGAACAAATCTAATCAGGGAACAGGAAATAAAATTTACAGGTAAAAAAAAAAAGAAAAAGAAAAAGAAAAAGCAAAGAAAAACACATTGGGAAGGGAAGAAGAAATGAAGGAGAATGGCCGAAGCTAGTACGAAAAAGTTCTGCCAACCATGGGCACGATCGGAAAAAGTAGTCAATCAAGGCACTCTCGCCTCCCTCCAAACACTTGGTGAAGTGACCACTTTTAGTTCGCTTTTCCCCCCGATTTCCCGCTAGTCCTTCTGGGGGTTCAGGCTCCCAGGCGTCCAACTCTCCCTCTCATCCTCTCACAACCTCTCTTTCTCCTCTCTTTTCCCCAATCCTTCGCTCCGGTTCAGTTCAAACATTACCACCGCCCAACCACTACTGAACTACCATCACGACGTGATCATCGCCTAACCCCCCCCCCTCTTTCCTTCTCCCATCTACCTCCCCCCCTTCGCCTCCCTCCGCTCTCTGTGCGCCCCCCTCCGTCTCACACGAGTATCCTTAATTTCGAATTTCACCCTCTTTCATCGCTCTTTTAGTTCTGGGAGGCCCCCCTGCCCTTTTCACCGCTTCTCGCCTCTTCCAACCCATCCAGTCCGTTGGCCTACTCAGTCGTCCCAGGTGACTGATTCACTCCTTTTGACGGACTGACCGAATAAGCCAGGAAGCCCGCCAGGGCTGTGCAACGCCATGCCGGGGCGTTTCTCATCCGACCATTCTCGCTCTCTCTCGCGATCCTCTCAATCCCCGTCTCAACAGTATAATTCAACACAAGACGCCGACTCAATGCATCAGCGTTCTATGTCCGGTCACTCCTCCAATCCTAATGTCTTCTCCGATGAATATTCGCTAGAGCAAATTGATTCCGAACAAGCTACCCTCACTCCTCGAAGCCCATCTGTTTCTTCAATCGCATCATCCAATACCCTCCGTTCGTCTTTCCCTCAACAACAACAAAAACTGTACAACACAACGCAAAATGATCTCGGGGTAACAGAGAATCCATTTGGTGATGATGCTCGGGTCTCTTTCGATGAATCACCAAATCGGTCGAGTCTGCCCCCAAAGGGGGTCGATTTCACCAACCGCAACTCTACCGCGTCCACTAATACCGCCCCATCCATAGCACAGCGCAGTCAGAGCACTTCGTCCCGATTTTCCATGCCGCCCCGGGCTCTGAGTCCTTACACTGGGGCTACAGGCCCGAGCCATCCGTATGCGATGTATCCACAGGTTGGGGTTAGCCGTTCACCCAGTATCGCGACTACGTCTACAGTACGGCCGATGGAGCGACCGTTGGGCGACTCCAATGCACCCCAGCATCCCTACGCGATGTACCCACAAAATGTGGTAGCAGAAGAAGAGATGGACAATGCTATGATTCCCCCGGTGGGCTTTCCCGGACACCCTCAGGCATATCAACGACCTCCCAATCGTGCCGATGACGACGTAGGGGACTTGATCGGGCCTGATGGCCATACAGAACAGCTGCCACCCTACTCGCGGTATCCCGATCCTGTTGTTCCCAAGGTTGAGGGTACTTTTGATCCTACTCCTGACGCAGGCGTCACTCTACACGATAATACTCACAGTCCCAATGAACACCCCCCGCCGCCAGTTTCGGAAGTATCGTCGAGAACCTTGGTCGCGGAAAATGTGACGAATAGAAGAGATAATGATGAAGAGCGGGAAGCCGCAGCACCAGTTACCGGTGTGATGGCATTTGAGGAGAAGCTTAAGACTAAAGGTAAAAAGAAGGCATGCTGTGGATTACCGGTCTGGACCCTTGTTTTAGTCGGTGTCGTGATGCTGGTGGGAGCATGCATTGGAGGTGTCATCGGAGGTGTTTTGGGAGCCAAAAAGGCAGCGAATGAGGAGAACGAGCACCCGAAAGGTCCGAAGATTGTCACCAAAACCGAAACCCCCCGGATGGACGCCACCCCCATATCCACGATTCCTACAAATTTACCAGCTGCGCCTACTGGGAATTACTGGATTCCTGCGAACCCAAAGAATTCATCGAAATTTTGTATTGTCGAGCAAGATTACAACCCATCGTGGAATTGCATGAAGTCGGGAAAAATACCTGTGTCCGTGACCGGGACAGAATCATCGCGTAACATCACCTTCGCCAGTGAGCCGGTTTCTTCGTCTTTCACTTATGGCGCTCAAGCACCGTACTTTTCCAATCCGACGCAGTCACTTAGCCTAATGATGGATTCCAGCGACCTCAGCCTTGGTCCCGCCCTGACTTTCTTTTCCTTATTTGATAAACTGGTCATTGTACCCCAGGATACCTTCTCATCTAGTTCAGTTTCAAAACGTGCCGTCGGTGAGGATGATGTCATGGCAGGCGCATTCCATCGCTTGCAGACGGTGCGGGCGGGCGACAAACCCTGGTTTTGCTGGTGGAACAGCACCGTGATGGAGTTTTTCCTGTACCTCAATCAGTCCACTAAGGAGGCTCAATACAGTTCCACTTCGACACACCTGCCGTCTTCTCAGGCTACGGATTCTTCGAGCTCCTCGGTAGCTAATTACCCTCTTCGAATCAAAATGGACGAGAAGAGAGATTACCCAGAGGCCCAGTCGCCTTATTGTCAGCAGATGCAAGTGCTGGACAACGGCTCCATTAGCCCCGTTTCCCAACAAACGATTCAAATCAAGGAATTGGAGCCGACACCGACGACAACGCTCAAATACTCTGCGAGTGCGACACAGACTTACACGGCGACCGCACAGTATGAGCATGTGTGCTACTGTGTCGCATTGACGGATTAGTGTCTCGTTAGAGAGGGTATCTACTATAAAACCTGAGGAGTGTCGGTTGGTACTACCTCGTGGAGCTAAAGCGTCGGCGTTACCAACGGTGGAAACGGTCCATTATCTTTCATGTGCATACGAATGGTTGGTTCTCTTCTGCAGTCAGCTCGGGATCTTGGCTGTGCTGAACTTCTCGCATTGTTTACAGAGTTTATGGCATGCATCGTACACTTTCGGTTCCCCTTGCGACCTGTCTCGTGTCATTTTTTGGTCTTCCATGATGTGCTTTGACGCCATTGTCTCCAGGATCTTGTGCAGCATGTTTCGTGATTTATTTCGGCGCAGCTCTATGGCGTTTTTTGGATCGGTGCAGGTGGCCAATCTCAGTCCATCGTTTTTCTTTTTATTGGGCCAACAAACGTTTTGGCTTTTTTTGGACTACTTTTCTATATTTAACTGCTCGTATCCCAGGTTAGCTGTCCATACCGGTGGTCATGGTTTTATTTGTGACAGTATGACTTGACCGTTCCATTGTCGAATCCTTTCCGGTTTCATGACAGAATAGGCGAATATAATTTTTCGATCATCAAATGATCACAACCTGATCTTCGTTTTCTCATTCGATTGTCCTTGGTTCACTTACTAATCTAAAGAACTGGGGAAAATTCGTTCTCACCCAATTAGTTCCGTCCTGGAGGGTATGACCGTGTAAAGACGTCACCGGTTATATTTGCCGACGATCCAAACATATTCAACGATTTGACGAGTGCCACCAGGGAGAATTTAGTTAAATGCAGGAGGTACCACAATCTTAGATTACATCCTCGGTAGTTAATTTTCCAAATCGACATAATACCATGAACAACATCTCTCCACGCTCCATCCATCCATATTGATCAGTACCGAGACTCCGATACGACATGAATCCAACCTTGCGCAGAAGCTCCATGTTGAGGGTGGTCAATATGCCAAACCCTCCACTCTACCATTCCAGAAAAGTCCCCCCTCTATCCTGGCGGACTTACGCTCATAGTTCCTATGGCGGGGAAGGGGAGACGAAAGCTCAACAGCCCAACAATCCGCGCAATACGCCAACCCGAGACATTGAACACCCAGGTACGTGAATAGTGATAGAGAGCTCTACAGGACCGACATAGCAAAAGTGGCGGGCCGAAATCTGACCACACCCATGTAGGACCATCTGCCCCAGATGTCAGCAAGGGCTCAACAGCATCTTCAAGCTCTCAGCCTCGATCTTCTTCGACATCCCAAGAAGATCGAGATAAGGAGGATTCGGAAGGTAGACCCATTCGGATGACACCCTCCAACAACGCAAAACCAACGATTACTGACGGACGCCATTCACCCAATGTTGACTCTGAAGGCAACGTAAAGTCAGATGTTCCCAACGACGTAAAGAAACATAACGAAGAGATGGATCACCGGTACGATCGAGCTTACAATCAAATTGGGAATGAAGGGAAACCACCGAAAGGGTTTTGAGAAAGGCCACAAGCTTGGACGAGTGGTGTGGTTTGTGGCAATATCCCTTATGGTCGGGTGGAATTGGGAAAGTTACTCTATGATTGATTAAATCGAACGCGGTTTAGAAATTGAACCCATTCGAAAACATCATTTGGTGGATCTTGATAGCGGAAGCGCGAAGCTATTATTATAACTAGGATTCCAGTCTTGATGTAGGCCCGAGCGCGCAACGGTGCTATAGGTTTTTACGCCCCAGGGCGCTAGATAGATTCTTAGGTGTTACAAACTTACGATTAGACTTTCGTACTTTCACATCGTAGACACTCAGGTAGTTTATAAATCTTGTATATCTACATCCTGATCTTGACCACCCTGGGAATTAGGTCACGGTTGTATTGCCACGGAGGTATGATGGAAATGCCACGAGGCTGGAGAAAGGCCACGGGTTCCTGAACGCGGATCTCCCGCGGTCGCTGCCAAGCAAACCCATCGCTCAGGAGCATCACTCACTGCACCTACGCAGCTTACTACTCTTTGACACCGAATAGTCAATTGCGGACGGAGTCTTTGTCGCAACGTATCTTCCCCACGTTCTCCTTTGAATCTCTCCCCTCACAACAATCAACATGGGTGCCGCAAAGAACAAGTACTCCGTCATTCTCCCAACCTACAACGAGCGGAAGAACCTCCCTATTATCTGCTGGTTGTTGGAGCGCACCTTCCGTGAAAAGTGAGCTTTAGCATCCCCCTTTGCTTTTTGAAAAATCCCTCTCCGATGCTCCATTGCTTGCGCCCAATACGGCTAACCGTTCCCAACCGATAGCAACCTGGACTGGGAAGTTGTCATCGTCGACGATGGCTCCCCCGACGGCACCCTCGAAGTCGCCAAACAGCTGCAGAAGCTCTGGGGCCCCGAACATATCAACCTGAAGCCGCGTGAGGGCAAGCTCGGTCTTGGAACTGCCTACGTTCACGGTCTTCAGTACGTCACCGGCAACTATATTATCATTATGGACGCCGACTTCAGCCATCACCCCAAATTCATCCCGGAGATGATCCGCATCCAGAAGGAAACGGACGCTGACATTGTCACGGGCACGCGGTACGCCAGTCGCGACAACATCAAGGGCGGTGTGTACGGTTGGGATCTATTCCGGAAGTTTACGTCGCGGACGGCCAACCTCATCGCTGATGTCATGCTCATGCCCGGTGTGAGCGATTTGACGGGCAGCTTCCGGCTGTATAAGAAGAGCGTGTTGGAGAAGGTCATCCATAGCACCCAAAGCAAGGGGTACAGTTTCCAGATGGAGATGATGGTGCGGGCCAAGGCCATGGGCTTCAAGGTTCAGGAGTGCCCGATTACCTTCGTTGATCGGTTGTATGGAGAGAGTAAGCTGGGCGGTTCTGAGATTGTGGAATACTTGAAGGGCGTGCTTACCCTGTGGCTGAAGGTCTGAATGAGTTCTTTGGCCTCTATTGTTTGGGGTCTTTGTTCAGGGGGCCGCTCAGTGGCCTTCGATATACTAGTATACCCTCCGTTTTCTTCTCTCTTGCGGCAAAGTTTTCTTAGTCTTTCTTGTTGATGTGTTGGTCATCCTTAAACCTTTGTTTCATGTACATTAAATATCCAAAATGCTTGATTCCATCTTCTCATGTATGATTTGACCGTTCATGGTGCCCTGACCATATCCTCTACAGCACACTACACACTGTTCAGATACTGAAGGACGCGCTCAACCAACCAATTCTGACCCTCATCCTTCACATTGTGCGTGGCCCCTGGAATGACACCGCTATATTCACTCCATTTCTCCACTCCGCCGGCATTCGTTGCCTCCTTCCACCTCCGCAAAAGTGCCTCTTTATCCACCGATGGCAGAGCATACTCGTCATTTCCAGAATATAACGCCGCCAACCTCCCCTTCACCAACCCCCTCTCCGCAACAGCCCCAAACGTCTCTTTCAACCTCTGATCCTTCAGATCGGTACTAAACAAATCATCCTCCGCAGGCTTCTCTGGACTCTCTGGGCTTGTGAGACTCAGGAATCTCCGACTGCTAATTCCCGTATTATCCGGCCATCCGACCACGGCGGTAAGATTCAGTGGCAGCAGTGACTGTGGCGCCTGCGCCCTCGCAAAATTCACCAACTGCTCATACGCCCCGCGAACCTCCTGGTTCGAGTTCGCCAAATGCAAGATATGCTCCCGATCGGACACGGGAGCCTGCATGATGGCCCCGTCCAACACCGGACGAGCACTCTCCTGCCCGGGGAGCGGGTTCGGGGAGTGCAGATAATGCAGGACGTCCTGGCTACCGGTTGAATGGCCCATGAGAACGATCTTGCCCTGGGGTTTCAGACCCCGGACGAAGTTCACGCACTGGGCGATCTCGGTGACGTCCTTATCGAGACTTTCGACTCCCCAGCCGAGGTAGGAGGAGGAGAGAAGGACGTTGAAGACGGTCCATTCTGTGGATTCGAAAGCCTTTGCGAGGGCGGATACGTAGGGGACTGTTAGGAGGCCGTCGGTGAGGCCACCGACGAAGAGGAGGCTGTGTTTCTTTTTGGGGGATGGATTGAATTCAAAGGCCGTTAGTTTGGGGGCCTGGGTTGTCTGTTAGTATGTTTGGTTTCGTATAGGTTTAAGAGTGGATGAATTTTGCGTACATATTCGTGGAGGATACCGGAGTGGGATTGAGACATGGTTTATGTATGGCGGGTTTACGGTCTCTCTTTTGTGAGCTTGGAAAGGATGGGCGAGCAAGAGCACGATATGATTTCAGCAGTCGAACCGGTCCAATTTATAATACCTTAGATTAGTTAAAGAAATGCTGTGAGATTATAGACCCATAGAATGACGTTTGACGGGCACCGATCCCAAGTGATAACGGCCCACTGAGGAGGTGGGGTCCAAAGCTCCCATCCCTGTGATATTCCGCAGCAGCAGTGTTTTCCAATCCTCTCGATATGACTCTCACACTCTAATCGATAATGTAAGCATACCTATCCTCATCGCAGATGCAAATCTTACCAACAATCAACCATTACCCAAAAAGCTCCCCGACTTGGTACAACACAATTTGCATACTATGTACATACATACATACATACGCATACGAGGCTGACCCAAAAGCGGAACGGTAATTTTCCCCTCGTTCCAACCGCGTACCGGATGCCAAAAAAAAAAAAAAAAAAAAACATGTAAAATTACACCTTCCCATATCTGCCAAGACTTCCGCAAACTTCACACGGAGTATGAACGGATTGTTCTTCAGTCCCAGCTCTTACCATTGAATGGATGTGGACTCTGTTCTCATGGCAGACTCTGAATATATTGGCTGTTTGAGCAAGTAGGACTGGACTGTGAAAGCTTGTTATGGTTGTTTTGTATGACCCTTTTTGCTCAGAACTATCGGAGTTCGAGACTAGTTGCTATCGATTATTTATTTTGTCTCGCTACCGAGTCATTCCTGACGTGAGGGTGAATTGAACGAATGCCGCGCGCACGCAGATCCACCCGCTTCACAGGCGGGAGGACCAAATACACGAACGACCCTTTTGAGGCAGCAGGCGTAAGCGACGAGTCGGACGAGGGGTCCAAAGCGCGCAAGGGAAGAGAAGAACCAGTCAGCGACGAGTCATCGGACGAGGAATTCCAGGCGAATGACGGGCCAGAAGAAGAGGAAGAGGAGGAGGACGAGGGGTCCGAAGAGGACGTAGCGGGCGAGAATGACGACGACGAGGACGACGAAGAAGAAGCCGACGAGGAAGAGGATGCTGCCTCTAACGGCGGGCGCGGAGCCCAAAAGGCCGTTGTGGCTCGGCCGAAGCTCCAGAGAAAACGGCTTGGGAATGACCTGGCTATGCTGTCGAAGGATGAGTTGCATTCGCGTGGCACCCATAGCTCGATGGAGCATATGGGAAAGATGCTCCATATGACGATCACGTTTGGTACTGATGAGAAGGATCTGTTGTCGATTGTTTATGCGCGGCAGCGGTGGTCTATGGGCCTTGATTCCGGGTTTCCGACTCGTGCGTCGCTGAATGAGGCGCCGGATGTGCCGGATTGTGGGTTTGGGCCGACGTTTGGTGTTGAGCCGGAGGATATGAAGAGGGAAAGGACGCGCGGGTGGGATTGGTATTACGATGATGATGTGGGAGGGAGGTTTAGGAAGCGCCAGCGTCTGGAGTCAATCGCTGAGAAAGAAGCTTTCCGGAAGTTCATACCGCAGGCTAAGGAGAAGAAGCATACTGTGCTGATTGGGCCCGTTAATGATCAGAAGGTGTTCACATTAGGACATCATGAGTCTTTCAATTTTGGAGATGCTTTTGGAGAGGTTAAGGCTCGTGAGAAAGCAAAGCCTGGCACTGGTGGCAAGTCCAAAGATAAGGGTTCTGCACAGGGAGACTCTACCGGTCGAAATCGAAAGAAGCGTGAAGGATGGATTATCAACCTAGGACAGAAGGTTCAGTGTATGGCTTGGGCTCCAAATCAACCCGGCCTCACCCAGTATTTGGCTGTTTCTACGCCGATATCAAAAGAAGAGAAAGAAGAGTATCCGGACCCGTTCAAGGACCGCGGTGCCCGAGCGTTTAGGCCCTCCCCTCCGTATCCATGTGCCTTGCAGCTTTGGATGTTCAAGGCCGAGAGAGAGGAGTCTCTTACAAAACACATTGATATGAACTTTAAACCAAAACTACGACTGGCCCTATGCACTAATTGGGGCGACCTAAGACGAATGGCCTGGTGCCCAATGAGTCAAGACCCTCGGGAAGAGCACGGTGATGACGCCCTGAAATCTGTCGGGCTTCTCGCCGGTATATGGGGCGATGGATATTTGAGAGTCCTTGATATCAAGCTTAGCCGCGACCCCAACCAGGCTGAATACTGTAAGTTCTGGTGCAAGTAATAGCAAGACTCCTACCTCGTACTAACGTTGTCCGATAGACGCCGTGCGGTCTCCAGTCTTCGAAGCAAAGCCACCTTCGACTCTGTGTACATGTTTAACATGGCTCTCTCCGAGTGATATCGCTGTTGGCTGTGCCAACGGGTTCGTCGCAATTTGGAGCATTGTGCCTTCGCAGAATTCTCCATCAAACCCTTTCCCTTATTTTTACCAACCAATCCATTCTACATACGTTCTTAATCTAGCGTCGGCTTATCCAACAAATGCTCATTTAATAGCGACTACGTCCATGGATGGAGAGACACGGCTATGGTCGGTTTTAGACCCCCAAAAGGACATGGTGGATTCGAACCGTATGCGAGTGGGGTCACCTTACTTGACATACTCTCCTTTGCTACACTCTTTTCTCTCTAGCGACGAGAACGACTTCGCCCGACTGCTAGCTGTGCGACGATTCTATACCACGACGGCAGTAGCTAGGTTCCCTAGCACAGTTTCTTCGCTGTCCCCATGCAGCGTCTGGCATCCCAGCGTCATGTACGGGTGCACCAGCGGTGCGGTAGTCGCGACGAATCCCTTACGGCGATTATTGCACGTCAAAGAAAAGCAATGGCAACAGACCTGGTTTACTCACGAGTGGGCGCGTGGTGATGACGCCAGCGGTCCAGGTATCAGTAGATTTCACGATGGCTACCGCGCTGAGAGCATAAGCCTACTTCGGAACATGATGGGGGATCGCAAGATGGTGAACGGGGTGATGACGATCACAATCTATGAAGAGGGAACGCATGTTACCGCACTCTCTTGGAATCCAAATCAGGCATGCGCAGGGTGGGCTAGTGCTGGTATGGGCTGCGGACTGATTCGAGTCGAGGATCTGGCTACGTAACCACTTTTTTACATGGTGTTCTCTCTGTTTTACTCCGAGGATGACTGTTGTTATAATGATCGAGGTTCATGACCGCTAGTCTTATTACGTATGTCCTGCATTGATCATGGCGTTCTCTGTATCTTGCATAGTTTTTACCTGCATAATTGATTACTTCAAAAGTCAGTCGATAATCCTGGGGCTATAATTAGACAGTGTGCGCGTAAATAGAGTTGTAGGACTCGATAGATCCTGCGGATCTCCAGCGACTAGGTAGACCAGATAGCCCGAGCTGGATAGGACATGTCAGAACCTTAGGGTTCATCCCGAAAAGACCCTTTCAGGGTCCAAGTGACATGCACGTTGCATACGGCTAAACCCGAACAATTGATCGCAACGTACGTCCACTGGAATTTCGATATTCAAATGACATAGTAGGCCTCCTGAGCACTGTAAGGGAGCACAACTAGCCGATAGCGCCTCGGCGACCCCAAAAATCTCAAAGATCATGTGTACAGCCGGTACAGTGAGCAATATGCGAACTCCCCCCCCCGGGGTCGCCAACGGTCGGATACTAAACTCGAGCAGTGTCGGAGGAATTATAAGGCATGCTGACGTTGGCCTTGACGTTGCTCCCACTACGATCATGTACTGCATGTCTTGGCAATTGCGTGTTGAGCGTGATGCATCAATCTCATTTTCCAACTTATTTTCCATCATGCATAAGCGCATAATGATTAATGCAAGTTCTGTACGGAGTACAAAGAGTAAATTAACTTCTGGTCGTTGCCCGTTGCTCGACGCCACAGGCGGCAAGTGGGGCGCTCCAGCCACAGATGCCGCAGCTAACAAAACTGTCTTGGCACTGAATCCGGGCAAAAAAGCTGTTTCTTATTTTATCTCGTCGTGTACATCGAAGTATGTACGGTACGTACCTCCATGTGAATTCTGTCTGCCTAAACCCGAAGGTCTGCGGAGCCACACAAGACTTCCGCCGAACAAAAATAAACATCGGACATACATCAAGAACATGATCGTGATTGCGTGGACGTCGATCGTCTCTAAAATTAACGTGGCTGGCGGTCCCCCGTGGGTGGACGAGGGTTTCCCAGCCTCCTTTGACGGCTGTCGCCCAGGCCATCGTGGATGCGCCAGCCTGCATATTACCCCGTCCGACGGGTCTCTCTGCCGTCCGATGATGAATTTTTGATATTGACTAAATCAATTGAGTGCTTTTAGTCTCTTCTAGACTACGGAGAACCGGTTTTCTATCTAGTTGCTGATCATAAATTGGGAGCCGTCCCTCCGCTTCTCAGATTTGATATATTCATCTTGTCTAGTTTATCTGGAGCATTATCCGCTGTACTATTCTCATTCTTCATTCTATAGAGAGCATCTAGTCTAATCCGTTCTGTCTCTTTTCACTGTTACAACTCCACCGCTTTCCAAATCCCTTCAATATGCATACCTCCACATTGCTCTTAGTCCTCTCCTCGCTTGGTGCTCATGCAGTTCCTCTCCTCCATCTTAGGGCAAATGATACCCTCGCGCGCAGGGACGGGCAATATTCCGTTGTGAATGTTGCCGGTCTGCCTAGCGCTGAAGCGACCCCCGTCGTCGAGACTGTTACTGTTGGCTCGCCTCCACAGCCCCCGGTGACAATCACTATCACCCACACTCCATCGTCGTCTCCTTCTAGTACTCCTTCTCCCTCATCTTGGAGCGCTGGGCCATTGTCAACTGGCATTCCCAGCAGAGAGTCCCCGATCGTGGCTCGAGGACTGAACACAACTACCCGGAGATTCCGAAGGTCTTTCTCTACCAACAGCACTGAAGTCCATGATCTTGCTGCTCGTCACAATGGCACCATTCCTCACCTTAATGCTCGGAGCAACAATACTACCATCCTGACTGCCCGTGGAAATAGCACAGAGTCCAAGATTGCCGCTCGGGGCAACGGTACTGCTACTGGTTTGGGTGCTCGCAGCAACATTGCCAACTCTCGCCTGGCAGCCCGCAGCAATAACACTGCGTCTGCTGTCGTCGCTCGCAGCAACAGTACTGAGGCCAACACCATCACTGCGCGCAGCAACAGCACCAACTCCCGCATCAGCTCGCGGCTTGAACCTCGCTGACCGTGCTGTGCTTTACCTTCGGGATACCCTCAACTCCACCCGCGTTCATGACAGCAATGCTGTGGCGAAGAGGAGCTCGAACGGCACATCGCTTAGGGCTTAAGGTCGATGCAAAATGCAAAACATGCCTGGCTGTGTGCGAGAGACAGATTGTGTCTCTTGGCCAAAATGATTGGCCACTTCATCGCTTATAAGATAAGCAAAGTGAACAATGAAATGACGGGTACGATATGAAAAGATTGATGAATATGATGGATGACCACTGGCATGCTTTCCTTCTCGTTTGCAGGGTTTCGTTTTGATGATTGAACATGACGTTCGATGTGATGATGATATACATACATATGCATATGGCGTTTGGTCTGTCTTTCCTTTGGCATATGTGTTTCTCGGGTGGGTTTATTTTTTTTCTTTTCGACTTTTGCTTTAATTACCAGATTGGTTCTTTATGAGTTGGCATATTTAGATAGTTTAGATGGCTTGGAATTTTCAGTGAGTATATAGATGGGGAGGAATAGAATGCATATAGTACTTGTTATGATACTTTGACTGCGCTAAACTCGAACGGGCACCCGCCGTACGGGTACTCCGTACGGTACCTTACGTCAGTTAGTTCCCTTACATAAGACAACAAGCAGCGACCCCATCGAATGTGATCGCATGTTAGTCCAACTGCGCCTCTTCTTCGGCTGTTGTTGATTCATCTTTCCTCCCTCCCTCCTGTCTATGGACCAGGAGTTCCCTGATCCTTTCTCCCTTAAGTGCTCTTACCATCGGCTCCCTTGCCATTGAAGCACTTCTACCTCTCATCTGCCATTTTGACAGGTGTTGACCGCCGATACTTAGCCCCCCGACTCTCCCCTCTACACTCCCACAATATCCGTCACGATGGCCACCCCGATAACCCCCTCCGAAGACCAGAGCCGTCTCCTTGAGGAGGCATTGGGAGTGGTGCGGCAGCAGTCACAAATGATGAGAAAATGCCTAGAGACTCCGGGAAAATTAATGGATGCGCTCAAATGCGGGTGAGCTCAACCTCTCGGTCCCCCCAAGGCAGCAGCGGAATCAACTGGTGTAGGATCTAACATGATGTGCCAATTGGTCCAGGTCGACTTTAGTCTCTGAATTACGGACGCCGAGCTTAGGCCCAAAGCAATACTACGAACTGTACATGGCTGTGTTCGATGCGCTGCGACACCTTTCCGTTTACCTGAAAGAGAACCACCCCGTCAACCACTTGGCGGACCTCTATGAACTGGTCCAATATGCCGGTAACATTATTCCGCGACTATATCTGATGATCACTGTCGGCACTGTATACATGTCTGTGGAGGATGCCCCGATTAAAGAAATCATGAAGGACATGATGGAGATGAGTCGAGGTGTACAGCATCCTATCCGAGGACTTTTCTTGAGATACTACCTCTCCGGACAGGCGAGGGATCATCTACCCACGGGAACTGGGGATGGTCCCGAGGGTAACATGCAAGACTCGATCAATTTTGTCTTAACCAACTTCGTGGAGATGAACAAGCTGTGGGTGCGACTGCAGCACCAGGGCCCCTCTCGGGAACGGGAAAAGAGAATGCAAGAGCGCCGGGAGCTGGAGCTTCTGGTTGGAAGCAACGTTGTCCGACTTAGCCAGTTAGTTGATCTGGAGGGTTACAAGTCCGGTATCCTGCAAGCTTTACTCGAACAAGTTGTTCAATGTCGGGATGTGTTGGCGCAAGAATATTTGCTGGAAGGTAAGAGGATGTTTCACTATTACATGATGCGCCGGAGTACTGAATAGTGCTGTAGTGATTACAAAGGTCTTCCCGGATGAGTTCCATCTTCATACACTCGACCTCCTGCTCTCTGCAATTGCCCGGCTCAACCCACATGTGGACTTGAAGAAGATCGTGATAGGTCTTATGGACCGCTTGTCGTCTTATGCGGCACGCGAGACCGAATCGTCTGCTGATCCAGAATCTAGAAAGCAAAATGAAGAAGAAGCGGTTGCTAAACTCCTCGAAAACCTGAAACTCGCAGAGGAGGCCAAGAAGGAAACACCCGCCGAGGCCGAGGCCGAGGCCGAGACCGAAGCGAACGCTACCCAGGAGAACGGCGTTGAGCAGACTTCAAAGGAGTCAGATGAGGCCGAAACTGCAAAGGAAGCAGAGGCAGAACCCAACGCTAGCACAAACGGCGACAAAGATGAAAAAGCCGAAACCCCGACAGACATCAAGCTTTACGATGTATTTTACGGGCAGGTGGTCAACCTCATCAAATCGCGTGGCCTTCCCATCCAAGATACCATGGCACTACTGGTTTCGCTCGTTAACCTTGCGTTGAACACGTATCCCAATCAACTAGAATACGTCGACCAGATTCTCGATTTCGCTACCCGCGAGACTGCAGAGTATGCTGATCACGCAGATTTGCACTCTGCTCCGACACAGCAGAACCTTTTGAATCTTCTCCTTGCTCCTCTGCGCTCATACGTCTCGATCTTCACTGCATTGGCTCTGCCACACTATCTTCCTCTCTTGACAGCGCAGTCTTATACTACGCGGCGGTCTGTTGCGGGTGAGATCGCTCGCAACCTGCTGAAGAATCTGACGCTTATCACCACTACTGAGAACTTGGATCGTGTATTACAAGCGTTGAGGGTCCTGGTCAAGGAAGGCACACAGCAAGCTATGGGACTTGGTTTGCAAGCCCAGCGCCGAGGTGAGACTGATGAGACCATCGAGGAACAAGGGTGGCTTGGGCGGTTGATCCACTTGATCCAAGCTCCAGAGAATGATACCCAATTGAAGGTAATATAGCCGAAGTCCAGATCACACTTGTTCTCTTGCCCCAGCTAACTTGTTGATAGCTACTTCAAGCAACTCGCAAAGCCTATGCCGATGGTAACGAGCGTATCCGCTACACGACTCCAGCCCTCATCACTGCTTCGATACGGTTGGCGCGTAAGCTGAAGTCCCGTGAGCATTATGATGACAATTGGCAGTCGCAATCCTCGGCGCTCTACCGCTTCATGCACCAATGTGTCAACAACCTTTATCAACGTGTGAACCCCGGGTGTGCTGATCTGGCATTACGTCTATTCGTAATGTGCGGTGAGGTGGCCGACCAGACAGGGTTCGAGGAGTTTAGTTACGAGTTCTTTGCACAAGCTTTTACCATCTATGAGGACTCCATCAGTGATTCCCGTGCTCAGTTCCAGGCAGTCTGCATTATTGCTGGTGCTCTCCATGGCTCCCGGGGATTTTCTAAAGAGAACTACGACACGCTCATCACTAAGGCCGCCCTGCACGGCAGCAAGTTGCTCAAGAAACCTGATCAATGCCGAGCGGTGTACTTGGCCAGCCACCTCTGGTGGGTTGTCGAAAACCCACAACGAAACGATGAAGATCCCAAGAACGTACGTTTCCTCCCCGCTTGAACATATCCACAGACAACCCTAGTTTCTTTCTAACAAAAGGCTAACTGGTCGACAGCTCTACCGCGACGGCAAGCGCGTTCTTGAATGTCTCCAACGTGCTCTCCGCGTTGCAGACGCCTGCATGGACACTGCTGTATCCGTCGAACTCTTCGTCGAGATCCTCAACCGCTATGTCTACTACTTTGACCAACAGAACGAAACCGTAACCACTAAATATCTCAACGGCCTTATCGAGCTCATCCACTCTAATCTGCAAACGGACGAGAGCGAGCCAAATCCCAGCTTGGAGGGTCCCAGACGCCACTTCGAGCGCACCTTGGACTACATCCGGTCAAGAGAGTATGAAGGTGTTGTGACGGAGGCTAAGCAGTGAGAATGATTGTATGACATAATGCGTGTATACATTTTTCTTCTCTATCTTTGTTCCATTCGAGTTTCCTTTCCCCCTGATGAAATACCTGTCCGCCTATTTTCCGTGTCTCGTCTCGTGCCTCCTAGCATGCAAAACCTGTAAGATTCCCTTCCCTCTCTTCTAATTCACAACCTGCTATTTTTGTGATACGATCATATAGGTGTATCATCATCTGTTGTCCTTCGTCAGACTATCATACCCAATATTCACTTTTTATTATTGTCATAATAGAATTTGACTGGTTACGCAAGAAATATTTGACCAATGAGTGACTGAGAGGGTTAATATGTCATGTGACCACAGTAGTTTACTTTGTAATATGTTCAAGCTCTTCCGATGTGGATATCTCATTACAGCAGTAGCCCGGATCAAAGTAGTCTACTAGCAGTTATGACGAGAACAAGCATGTTGAGATCAAATCGATCGTGCAATTGTTTGACACGGAGGGACGTTTGCTCCATGGGAATCTCTGCAATAAGCCATACAAGACATGATAATGCCCGTGCGCGAGGATTAACTCGAACAGGTAAAAAAAAACACAAGAGAAGATAGGACGAAGAAGAGAAGAAAGGAAGCGAGACCATCAAGTGGGAAACCATATGATAAAGACGTGAAACACATGACATGACGCTTGGACAGAGGGGGCATTTCAGCGATCAATCATTCCCAAACCGCAAAGTAGTAAAAAGTAAAAGCAAAAAAAAAAAACAAAGATTCCCCATTTCCAGTGTAGATAGAATTGAATGCTGTGTGATAAAGCCCCGCTAACGCCTAGAACCCCGTGGGTGGAGAAGAAAATTGTCGTAGCACTGATGGTGTACTGCCGATGCCGCCGAATGCTGGTATGCTACTGCTTGGAACCGGACTGCCGATTTCACCGGGTACAATGCTGCCTCTGTGGCCTGAGGCTGCGCTGTTGGTATCTGACTCGAACTTGACATATTCGCCGGTCTCGTCGTTCTTGATTAAGAATGAACCGCCGCCGTTTTGTGTGTTGCCTTCCGTGTCGCAGATGTCGAGCATCTCTTTGAGCGAGATGGAGGGCTCATTTGGAGGCCGGAGCTGGTCAACCTGGCGAAGAACATGGTTCACGTCATGATAACCAGCCGCCCCCTTGGAAGGACTCATGGTGTTTAGTTGTTTACAGGCTTGGATCAC